CTGCTATTGCTCTGCTGCTGCAGCTGTGCTGCTGCTGCTGCTGTGCTGCTGCTTCTGTTGTTGCTGTTCTTGTTGTTGCTGAGATGTTGCTGCTGCTGCGCTGCTGGATTGCTGCTGCTGCTGCAGCTGCTGCGGTTGAGCGCCCTTTGTTTCTTTGACAGCTCCTGCTGCTGCAGCCGCTACTAACGGTGCTCCAGCTGCTGCAGATGCTGCTGCGGTTGCTGCTGCTGCTCCTGTTGCAGCTGCTGCTCCTGCTGCCAATGCTCCGAAGACTGCTGCTGCTGCCGCTGCCGCTGCTGCTGCAGCTGCACTGTCGCGGCCCCTGCAGCCGTTGCTGCTGCTGCGGTGTCTAGCTTCGCCGCCACTTGAAATGCTGTGGTACTGCAGCAGACGCTGATGCTGTCGCTGCTGTTGCTGCTGCTGCTGCTGCTGCGGTTGTTGCTGCTGCTGCTTCTGCAGCTTATACCCTTCGAGTTAAGCGCCACAGACGGAGCAGCACTCTGGTGCGTGTGGGGCCCCCCTGCTGCTGCCGCTGCTGCTGCTGTTGCAGCTCCAAGCAAGCGGAAACACACGTCTTTTCTGCTGTGGAAGCAGCAGCAGGTGTGCTGCAGCGGCAGCAGGAGCAGCAGCAGCAGCAGCGCGCATGCAGCTACAACAGCAGCTGTTGCTGTTGCTCTGTACCGCCGTCGTCTGCTCGGCACCCCCTGAGCTTTCTTTTGTTGAAATAAAGTATTTTTGCTGCATGAAACAAATAAAATACAAAAAAAATAAATAAATATATAAATTTATTTTGACGTAATTGCGTGAAATACAGCCCCAAGACGAACAGAAGCGGGGGGTGGTGATCTGGGTCGGTGGCGGTTCAGTTGCTGCTTTTCTGTATTTGTTTTTTTCATTTGCACTAAAATGTTATTTAAATTAAATAAAACGTTTTATTATAATTATATTTCAAGTTATAATTATATAATAAACACAGACTCCCGCTGCTGCTGCTGCTGTTTTCTTTGTTTGCTGTTTTTCTCGTTTTCTGGTTTCTTTATACGATACCATACAGGCATTATAAGCTAAACAAATAAAACAAAAAAGTAAATAAACAACAAAATTATTTTATATAGATAAAAGGGATTATATTTCTTTTATTATATTTAATAAACTATATAAATATATAAATAAATAAATAAATAATATATATATAGTATATACTATATATAGTATAAATAAATATATATTTACTAACAATTCGCTACACAGACAGCCAGCAGCAACAGCAGCAGCAAGAGTATCTGCAGAAGCGTTCTTTCCTGCTGCTGCTGCTGCTGCTGCTGCTGCTGCTGCTGCTGCTGCTGCTTCTCTCTGCTGTCTGTACACCTCAAACTGCATGCTGCCTTCACGCCACTAAAGAATACTCCTAACTTAAACCTACTAAATCTTACCAGCAGCAGCAGCTGCTGCTGCTGCTGCTGCTGCTGCTGTTGCTGCTGCTGTTACTGTTGCTGCTGGCGCTGGTTTCGGGTTTTGTAGCTGTGAGGGGATTCTTTGTCTTAACAAATATTTTGCTGCAGCAATTTGAAATTGTTGTTGATGTCTTAGCAGCAGACAGCTGCTGCTGCTGCTGGAGCTGTTTTTGTTGCTGCACCAGCTGCTACTGCTGGAGAGTACACAAGTGCTGCGCCGCGTCTCGCTGCTGCAGCAGCTGCTGCAGCGCAGGCAGCAGCAGCAGCAGCAGCAGCAGCAGCAGTAGCAGCAGCAGCAGCGTTTAAAGGCGCAACGAAGATATGTGAAAGAGAGCCTCCTGGTTGGCCCTCTCCC